TGTCACATTTGTTACAAGTTAAAATTTCTAATACACATTTCACTGTCTGTCCAAAATAGGGTTAGCAGTTGAAGTAAATAATATAATTTTTTCCTTTCATGTTACCTGTTTCTATGTTGAATTAAATTGTTTAAGGTTTATGTCCATCCCGTTACCATTCCTGTCCAAACCGTTACCACTATTGTCCTAACCGTTACTGGTGTTAATTGACTGCTCTAATTAATTCATGATAATACATGAAACACTCCTCTTTATGCTGGTGTCATCTAAAGATGTCCTGGGCTTAGTAGCTGATGTTATTTTTAGACAGTATTACCTGTGGAAAGCTATATGCATAATAATGTTTTAGAACAATGCAATTATTTTGTGGTAAATAAATGAAAGATACAAAATAACACTTTCAAAAATAATGATAATAGTTTTTACCTTCAAGTTTGATTAAGTCAGTGTAAAAGCTGTGTATGCCATCTTTAAAAGAGTTTTATCAATTATATTTTAAAATCCTTATTCTGATTAAGAAGTGGTAACGGTCAGGACTTTCCCTCACCCTATTAATTACTTATGTATCAATTAAAAGGCCAATTAGTAAATTTGAGCCTGCATGTTTGTATTATTGAATAATTAAGTATTTGAGATTTCATTTGAATAAAACCTAAATCAATTTTCATGAGTTTGATTTTACTGTAATAAAGAATTGAAAACCCTACCAATTTTGAAAATGACCCATATAATAGCCAAAAACTCTGTAGAGTTTGTTAGCTAATGCATTTATCATGTTACCATAGTATTACTCTTAAGATATGATTAACTTAAGGTAAATATATATAATAACAAACTCTGTAGAGTTGTTAACTTATATATTGTATGATGTAATAATCATAGTACTGTGATGATAAAAGGAACTTAAGCAAATTATATATAGCACGTAGCTATTTAGTACTGTTATAAGATAAGTAGAAAACTGTAAGATTGACTTATCTTCTCCACGGAAACTGTCAATTGTTGTGCGAGGACCATGGGATCGAATTGGTGGATACCTGAGACGTCCTCGGTGGTGATATCCCTCAGATAATGGTTGGCAACCACCATATCGGATCTCCAGTAATAAACCCTCCATTATTCCAAATAACATTTGTGTAGATCCAATGTAGCAGTTAATGCTCTAATATCATGAGTATTAAGGCTCATGGAGGGTCGGATTGGGTCCATCCGTCTTGTATGCACATAGTATGACAGTTCTGATCCAAACGGAGATATAGTACGTGAGACTTCATTCAGCCTAAGTTGATGATAGAGGAAATAATCTGTTGCATTTTCCCTTCCTGTTTGGTTCGGTGGAGATAAATTTACAGTGCTCTTGCTGGCCATTGTGATAGAATCATCGTATCATGGAGCCCAAGTATGTCATCCAGGCGTGTTCATAAACCTCACTTGTGAGGTGTTGGAATACTATATTCAGATCCCCAAGTTGGAGCGTGAAACTTCCGTTTAAATTCTCCAATCAGAAAGCTTAAGTAGGTTTACTAACCATCTAGTTGTGTTAGTAGTTTGATGATGAAATTCAACTGTAGTCTGAGACGCTGTGGATTTAGATCTACTTGTATCCCGTCGTCTCGGTAATTCGCTGCGAAGTTCTTGACGATGTAGGTGCACAACCATGTGTGTCTGTCCTTGTTGAACTTTATATAAATTCGCCTGACTGCCGTCCCCTCATCCTAACTTGACAGGGGAGGTCTCTAACCTGAAGAAAGCAGCCTAATTACTGAAGGTTCAGGTTAACTGGACTGTAAGGAGGCTTGCTCGTTCACTGATATATAGTTGTCACTTGAGACGTAAGTCTTGAACTGAGAACTCAGATCGACCTCTGCGTAGGTCGCTGGTCCATCGCGCGGTCCAATCAGAACAAGGCATTTTGATTCTGTAGAATAACCCGCCTGTGATGTCACCGTGTAGCAGGAAAAGAACCTTGTATAAAATCTTGCCGCCGCTGATATTAGCATAATCGCCGGTCTTCACCGTAGCTTCCTCGGTTACCCAAGCGATCAACGGTCTCGAGGGTTAATGGTAACGCCGCTGAACCTTCGCCAAATACCTTCGCCTGTAGTATTAATGCTGGGTAGGTTATTTTCCTGGCTGTCGAAAGTAACTTCAGTTTTGAATATAATTCCGACTTCCTTATATAAAGGTACAATAAACTTGCAAGTTGTCAGCTTGTAGACTGTATACATGAATGTATCGTCATAATTGTAGAATTAAGACTGAACTTGTTGTACATATATCTTCTCAGAAAAGTTGACGATTATGAGTTATACTCGCTATAACAAGGCTGCTGTTCAATTTCGATATTGAATTGTCTGTATAAATGCGTAATGGTCACGCATGTAGATAATCGTATCGTCGTCCGGGATTGCATATTCTATCAATCTAAACGGAACAGTTGATTTCTGTGAAGATCTATGAAACGTCGTTGACTAATTAATACAGCGACGTTCTGTGTTGTAAATAGCCTGTGCAATTGTCTTCGCGTAGGCTTATAGACGGCATCTGGCATACAGTTTATAGACAACTTATGCGATGTCTTGAACGGACTGACGAGTAGCTATATATGACGAGTGGCTAGTATATGGAGACCTTGGAGGAGACTTCCTCGGTGAACGCCGGAGACTTCGCGAAACTCTCGAAGTATCCTTTCTAGATTTTCTGGGTGAAGTATACTTGCAGCCACTTAGCCTTCGCGACCTTCGCGAAGGTATCGAGTCAAAGCCCGATTAGTATATATATCTATATATATATGTGCTTGCTTCGCCAAAGCCTCTGTGTTAAACAGGATGAGGGGTCGGCGAAGCGCTACTCCTCCGCGATGTCCCTTGTAGCCGGTGAGGCTCTAGCTCCTTCTCGGAGGCGGCCTGGGACTTGCTGGTTGTGCATAAGTAGGGCCGCATGGATCATCTTATCATCTTCAGAAGTCGTGTTACGAAGTCTGGTGATAAGTGTCTTATTGATCGTTCTAGATCTATTTAGGCCAGCGAACATACGTCTCGTCATGGATTCAACTGAACCAATATACGATTGTAGTTCTTATTCTTGATATCAATGATCAACTTGTCTATGGGTTGATCTTCTCGGAGACTTGTGAGGGGAACGTTGATAGTTTCGCGAAGCTCTTGTATAGCCCCTCGATGTCCTTCTAGATGATGATGATCTGGATTCAGGTGACCTTCACGCATGCCTTCGCGTAGCTTCCTCTGCGTCCGGTCCGGGGGAACGACGATATGACCTTCGCGAAGGCTTCCGTGATGTCTGATGGTCCTAATCCACATCTAGGGATGAAACCGAAGAAGGTGATGATCTATCCTGCCTTCGCGAAGTCCTTCGCGAAGGCTGTACATCTAGGTCCTTCCCGCCTTCGCGAAGGCTGTACATCTAGGTCCTTCCCGCCTTCGCGAAGGCTGTACATCTAGGTCCTTTCCGCCTACGCGAAGTCCTTCGCGAAGGCTGTACATCTAGGTCCTTCGTCAAGGTGGTCCGTGACTTCCTTCAGCGAAGGTGACATCGTCCTGGCTGCTACGCTGACGGGGTGCCTCTGGGGTGTTGTTCACGTTGGAGCCTTCGCTGGCTCGGTCCCTGCTTATGCAGTCTGTAGCGGTCCTCCATCATGGTCATAATTTTGCGCATCAGGTCCTCAGGGATGGTCTCGCGGCGTCGGTCGCCGGTGCCTTATCTGCGTGTTAATGGAGGGGTCCACAGGAAAATCGTCCGACATCAGTGTAGAGGCATCAGGCTGCATGGTGATCTCTGCTGATGCGTTGTAGCTGTCACCGGTCGCTTCTTGTGGCGATGCGATGGGGGATGATGATCAGCTGATCATCGTACAGGTCCAGGTCATCGGCTGGAACAATCTCGGTTGAGAAAGTCCTAGTAGACTTCGCTGATTTCCTCAGAGGTCGACGCTGCCCTGGGTGTCGCGACGTCTGCGTTGAGTGTTGGTAACGATGGGACCCTCAGGACGATCATCGAATATCAGCGTTGGTACATCAGGCTGCATGCTGATCTGCGCCGACATCGGTCATTCTTTTGATGTACATCAGGTATGATGATCGGCTGATCATCATACAGGCCCAAATCTGCGATGGGAACAATCTCGGCTGTTGAGATGTAGTAGAAAAACCCTCTAGTCTTCTGCTGCGACGATGGGATGTCTGGGGAAGCAGGATGCTTCTTGGATATGGCGGACTACGTCCCACGCCTCTCCACCACTCTAGCGGGAGGGGAGTCGGCCAACAGCAGTAGACTGGCGAGGGGTTCAGGTGTATCAGTCATACTCTGCATACGCGACCTATCTGCTGCGCGTTTCAAACGCAAAGTAAATATTAATAAAAAGGTAGAATTGGATAAATTAGTACCGCAACTGCAACGTGAATATAATGAACATGGCGCTGTACAACTAAGGCATATTAAAAGCGGATCAGCAGCAGCATAAAAACGTAATCTGCAATAGTACAGAATTTTCATCAACGTAATCCACTGAAACAAACACGGCGTCCCGTGAATAAACTGTAGAAAAACGACTAAATATCAATATATAATCGTTGAAGGATACTAGCTAAACCTCTATAGATGTCTATAATGAGGTAACTAACTAAATATAATTCAAAGGATATAGTGTGTCGGGAGACACAGGCGCTCTCACGTCCAGCTCACTGGGCGAAGAAGGAGAGAGTGAGGCACATGGGTAGAGGTGGCGCCCTCGTTCCCGCGCTTGTGGAAAGGAGGTAATCGTGGTGAGTACTAATTAGTGATTTTACATTGAAGGGAGCTTCAATTAGGGAGATACAAGTGTTCCACTATGTTCGCAAGAAGAAGAAGACAAGCAAAAAGAGCATGAGTCAGGATAAGGAAAAATATATGCTATTTTCCACTCGTTGAATAGCTAGCATTGTATACCATGGTCAGGTAAAAAGGAAACTTTCATGTTTACTGTACACATTGAAACAACTCACAGCTATGTGTTTGGTGTTGTTCCAGTCTTTTGTCTGATCAGAGAGGTCACATGAGGTCATTAGCAGACACAGGAGCATATTTCTCTGTTCAGGCTGGGTACTATCATAGCCATCTGTAGCACAAACAGAAAATGTGAGACAAACAAACAAGGAATATCGATACCACAGATTAGAGACTAGAAATAAACAAACTGGTGACGGGTCTAGGTTTAGATCAATCCCTCTACAGAAATCCAATCTACTTACTTCCTGGTATTTGGTATAAAACACTGGGGATGTTTCTTTTCAAGATATGTACACTCACTCTCAGCCATTTTATCCAGATCACCAAGTATTCTGAGGTGATGTGCTAGATCTGTCGCCAGGATGATATCTCGCATCAAGTCCAGCACATGTTGGTAGTCCTGGAAGGAACAGTTTATCCTATAGTTCATGTACATCCAAGAAACCGCTACTATGGCAGACCCAAAGTTACTGTTTATATGTTTGCATCAGTTTTGGCCCCTTATTGTGTGTCCAGTGAGTTTCTGTATTTTGTTCTAAAAGTATTCATTATTCAACATGGGACATTGTGTGTTTTTTTATCAGTGACTTTTATCACACTGTAGTGTCTACTTGATAGATATCCATTTAGAAGAGAAGTACTTACTGAACTTGAGAGGTGTTCAAAGATATTGCATCCCCTCTGTGTTAACAATACACATACTCTGTGCAAAATGGTGACGCTGAAACATAAATTACATAATTATTTAGGTGATATATATATAAATCATTGAAAATCCGAAGGTCACCTTGCCGACATAATTGTCCCTTTTATCATAAGACGCCAGGGAAAGTTGACCTGTTTACCGATATGGCTTGCATTATGTTATGTGAAACACTGGCAGTAAGTAAATATCAAATAGTAACTATACAGGGTTCCATACTTTTGCGCAAAAAACATCCCATGATATTTTCCGACAAATATTGCTTTTCTCCAGATACAACGATATATGTCCTTCGGTATATTGATACCTTTAAAGGTCACATAAACCCTAGGGGGTAAAAATACATAAATCACTAACTGGCATCGTTATAAATGAAACCCCGTCATTAAAACTACTCATTTCGACCTTTAATTGACTTAAATCGACCTCTTTGACAACAGTGCACAATTCTCACCCGCAAACGAAATTTCAACCAATCAGAGCGGCGGCGCGCCTCTGTGACTTCATATGAGGAATAGATATGAGGGCCGATGCAGAATTCATCTACATTTTAGGGGTTAAATTATCTTGTTTACAGGCTTGTATAAAACTGAAATCGTGACAATTGTTGTGGAAAATGAAAGCTATATGTTCTCACAATCTACTGTCATTTCATTTTGTCTCCTGCTTTGCTTAGTTTCTGAGTTACAACTTGTTTTCATAGACGATTCTGTCAAAATCGATTGGTGTCGTTAGGCCTTATTTGTATAATGACTGATCCAAATTGATCCCATTTCTGTGTTTTTTTACCTCGATATTTAATCATGTCATGTAAAAATCTGTTTGTATGCTCAAAACAGTGTCGGCCCATAAGTTTTCACATGCAATACAGCAATTAATACTCCCTTGTTGTAACCCGTGTTAGGTGGTATAAACCTACACATGTTAATTGTCATCATTCACTTGATGGTCAGTTAATAAATTTATAACAGGTATAATTAGTGGTGACACACTTAGATTACCCGACAAAGGTTCCCATTTGGCATTTCTTATGTCTGGAGTAAATATTCAACATTATAAACATCGATCAAAGGATTAACCGGTAACACGCTGATTGATTAATTACTTTTATCTTACACAGCGGAATTGTCAAAAGGTAGTGTTTATGTATGTAGATTTACTAATCTATACTGAATACACTCTGTCGGGTGTATGCGTAAAACAACGTCCTTCTTTCAAAGGATTAACCGGCAATACATTGATTGATTGCCCATTATTGAGCTAACTAAATTACTGTTTTAAAGAAAGGCGGACATTATGCAATTAGTTTGCCAGGTGTGCTATCTTGGGTTACCAATGAGACTATACACCAATACCTGAAAAGATTTATCACTTTTTTCGTGATATTAAACTGTTAAAAGACACATAATTTGGAACAGTTTGTGGATATTGATGGATACATTCCTCGAACAAGGTAATGGCCTCGATATTGTTCCTATAACTTTAATCTGTTTTAATTTTAATATTTGCATTTTTGTTTTATTCATTTTGTCGTAGCATTCAACAGAATCATTTGTTTAGCACAGTAAAAGATCTAACTAACCTGCATGTGATAAATCATAAGCTCATTAGATAGTTTATTACGGTGCTGTGCGTCTTGAACTTTCTTGTACATGAGACACTGAAACATAAGATACAGTTTTCCAAATGATACAGAAAGAAAGAAACCAAAGATGTCTACACATTCCCCATGATCAGCTAGGACATCTACAGGTCTATGGGACAGTCAGTCAGCAAGCCAGCTAAACTGACGCCATGGTTTACCTTCATGTGAAACATCATCAGCTCATTTGCGAGACTGTTTCGGTATTGAGCATCAATCACTTTATTGTACATCAGAGACTGAAACAGATAGATAGTCATGGTTCTCCACATCCTACCTATACCATTCTACCTGGCTTCACTGCATGCAGTTTAACACTTCATTGGCAATCTCACAATGTAGCATGTTCAAATCAAAGTGTCTTCTACAATTTGAAATTCCACAAATGATGCAAGCTGTATCAAATCAGGTTTATGCCTAATTTAATCTAAAACATTAGATACATAGCCTAGTGTGCAGCCTGCTCATATTCAACAACTGTTTCATACATTTTTGTTGTATCAAACACTACAACATCAAAGAATAGTTATCATTGTGTATAATTCTAAGAATACAACTGCTATAACATCATAGCCATTATTTCTGTGTCATGACTGTCCTCACACTATACAATGATAAGATTTTCAACATCAACGATGGAAATACTCTCGGTCACTAAGAGCTGTTTGGCCATGCTGGGGGTCTAAGAATGATGAGACAGTCTGACTGACATAAACCAAACGTTTTTGGTTTAGGACGTGAGATGAGATGAGGAGTGTCCCTCTTGATTGTAATCTAAATGAATACTTCCAGATGGAGAGACCATTCTTGCAGAAATACCTCCTCTGTGAGAGACAATCTGCCAGGATGTTGAATTTCATGTGTGACAGGCTTCCACTCTGCAAGTTCAGTAACTAAAAAATGTGAACCCTTCTTCATTAAGTTCACAGATTTTGTTCCTCCCTGAATCCAGATACATACTACTACCATGCACAACAGAAGTGATGTCTGTTGATATAAACACTGCACAGCGTTGTTGTCTTCAGATCCATATATTTGAGAGTTAGGAAAAAGGCTTTCATGTCCTGACAATTTATGCCAAAAGTCTTATCCTTCTCCGAGGAATTTTTAATCTATGAGAGCAACCCAGTCCAACACACACCCTCTGCAACATCTAAGTTGATTTACAGACTCCAAATTCATATCTCTTGCTTGATGTATTTGTCATGTGTTGAAACCATAACGCAGAATCTTGGTCTGAGGTTGGAAATTGTAGGTATCTTTAATGTAGGTATGCTGACAGGGTTATCTCCCTTTCCTGGATGGAACACAAGAAGAATCCTGTCCTGACTTAAAATGTCTGCTTTTGGGCTGACCCAGTTTTTCAGGTTCTTCAGGATGTTTCCAGGCTCTAGCAACTAGTGTCTGGTTTAACCTAATCAATAATGGGCAAAAGTATTGGGCTGAGATAAGATCAGTTTCCACAAGGAGTGGACAAACTTAAAGAAATCTTTGCCCATAATAAGAACCTGATAAGACTTGAAGTTATAATATTGATCAATAATTTCAGCATAAAGTAAATTCGCCTAAAAGAAATCATGTTGATCTTTATCAATTCCCTCAATAGTGTGAAGCTGATGCCTCATTCAAAACTTGCCTGGGGATGAGTGGTGAGAGCACCTGTCACATGAGGTGCACAAGCCACGTTCTAAATATAAGGATGTGACCCAAGCTAGATTGCAATTCAGAAGAGAGGTCAGAACGTGAGTAGGTGGCTGAGGGTTTCCAGACTTGCCACACAATATCTAATATCTCTCCAGCAATCCAATCTAAACCCTTTTGGTCATTCAAAAGGGTATGAAAATGAAAGTCTAGCAGCCATCCTGGACACTCCTAACTGGAAACAACCCTGTGGGAGCAGAATTGTAAATCACAGTTGAAACTCTGTTGTGAATGTCTGTAACTGGAAGACTTGCAAAAGTAAATCTCTTAGTTGATTTATACAGTAAGTTGCAAGGCAGAAATAACTTTCTTTACGGATGACAGTTGTTGATTATGCTGTTTGTCTTTGTGATAATCTTTGTCTGAGGTCTCGCAAACTTTTCCAACTTGAATGGGACTAGTGACGTCAGGTTCCCCCATCCCGTGGTCATCTCCAGCCTTCACAACCTGATCCAGGGAGTCGCCACATGTAGAGTAATACTCCTGCTCATGGGCAAGTGAGGATGTGAGTCTAGACCACCACGTTGACTTTAGAGCTCTCTTCCTGCTTCACTTTGCTCCTGCCCTTGTGGATGTGGTAGGAGCTTGCTCCTCAGTTTACTCATTACTAGGCGCAATCCTGGATGGCATATCCCTGTGACACGGTAAAGTTCTCCATGATCTATCAGATGAACCATTACACTTTGATGATGAAATAACTGAGAATTCCATGCCAACTTCAAACTTTGAAAGTGTACATCCGATGGAGAATTACACACATCTGGCAGTTACAGTACACAACACTTCTCTGCATGTAAAACAAGAGAGATGAGGATCCATGAGAATCTGTTGGTAGCCACAGTCTGTGTCCAGGAAAATCCATTCCCAACACAATCACAAATCATTGCACTTATGTGAATCTTTGAGAAGTTGTTAAAAAAAGTACCAGATCTTATAAGATTAACAGCAAAAACCTCGATGCAAAGATCAACCTGTTTTTGAAAAGATAAATTCCTGCGGAAATTCTCCCCGTCAACTTTAGCACACTCAGAAAATAATTGGCATATCTCTGTTGGTTGATTGCTTGCAGCAAAGGGGAACATCTTAACAATCTAAAGAATCTATAGAGTGAGACCAGTCAGTACAAAGACATAATGGCTATGATGTAACAGATGCAGTGCATTTGAACTAACTGTTCTGTCACTAAACTGTAATAGTCTATGCTGTGTTTTAATTTTTCTTTAAATTTCTTCCCGAAAATATGCTTTTCGAATTTCATCTCCAGATAAGGTGACAATACAGTTTTCCCGCTACCCCTTCCGTAATGAAGCCAGGAAGCGCTTTGATATCCCGTATGTTGAAATATGCACAACTGTAATGAACGTTGCTTACATGGCTGATGCTAATACAACAATACACGGCAAAGGCTGATGCAATATCTTCATCAAACACAGTGAAGTAGGGACCAGTCTTCTTGTTACAAAGCTGAGCCACACCAAGAACTTTTTCTGAAACAAACAACAGAGCGAATATTATACAAGGAAGGTCATTGTGTACATTTGTACCGGATAAAATGTGCTGGTAATGGCTGCTTGTAAACAATCAAGTCTGGACCAGAAAAAACAGTGACTGATCACCTGATCCATTTAGCTGCCTTATATGACAAGCATAAGTTGCTACATGGAGACCAATATTCTAACCTGGAATCCCAACAAGTTCATTTAAACATAAAATAGGGCATATTGCAAACTTCTTACCCTCTTCATCTTTAATGGGGAAACAAAGGATGTTCCTGAAAGAGGAAAAAATATTGTAGTACTTCTATTCATTTGGCTAGGCCACAATGAATTTATTTGTAATTTTTTATCCAAAATTGGTGCACATGCAGCATGTATGTATATTTGGACTAGAACATTGTGTGTGTCATCAAGTACACAGAAGGGCCCACATAGTGATTTTACTTGGATCATAGGTAGTTAGGTCAGGTGGGCTTTTTGGTAGTTGGGCTGCTCGTGAAGAAAATCTACTTTAGCATTAACCATAGAATGACAAACAGTCGAGTGTACAATATCAATAACCTTACAGATGCCTTAAGAGTTGCCTCCCATTACTTGTGTACATTAATTCTTGTTTCAGTTTTCTTCAGTATGTTTAAGTGATGTGATTAGAGGGAAGCGAGGACTATATCAGAACATACATTTCAAGCCAAATGTAATAGTCATCCATAAATAAAAGTTATGAAACTGTATTGGACAAATCACCTGGTCTTGAAGCCTGTTGAATCATCAATGCCTCTGTAGAACAATGGATGGGAGTATGCATCAGGGATGTTAAGCAGGTTACCTGGTTAAGGAAGAGAGGGTATTACACTCACTCTAATACATGCTATTGTAAATCGCAATGGAAAACATTTATTTAAGTTTAATCAGATGCTGTAAGCATATTCAACATCCATGTTGAGTAGAGTTGGTCAAAACAGTTGCACTGTGCAGAAGGTTAAATGGTTGGAAATAATATTTTTACTTCCAACAGCTCAAGTGTCAATGGAAACGACCACTGAAATATCTATCTATCCATTTTTAACAACAATTTTCTTTTCAATTCTGCATAATTTAGAAACTAAGATTTGCATGATCCTTTTGAAGCAGCATTTTCATTTCTATGGTAGCCAATTTATAGCATTCTCCAAAACTTGTAAGAAAATATAACTACTTGGTAATTTAATTTTTTATTCAGTTACATATATTCATTACAAAATACTGCAGCTGTGTCATCTGTCACAGATTAGCTGTGAGTACTGACTCGTGGAAATAATATGTTGAGTTGAGTCAGATGAGTGACAGTTGAGGAAGCAGAGTATCATACATAATTCACTGTAGCAAACCAGATTTTCAGTCCAAGTTCTGCATGCATAAACAACAATACATCTCTTCTTCAGAAGTTAAGTAATGACAAGTACAAGCATATAGGAATGTTAACCTGAACACACAATTAGTCATCTAACAATTCATATCTCACCAGTTGTGGCAACATGTCCTGCTATCCCTTGCGTCTTTGGCATTCTAATTTCCTGTTGTACCTGGAATAGGTGTAAGTGAGTGAATGTATTTCAACCTGAATATTCCAGCTGTAACATCAGTTTGTCGAGATCGCACAAGATGAGAGACTTCAAGCAAAGACCTTCATTTTGGGGGCACTTTGACACACAATTAGAAAATTCACTGTGCCTGATGATCACCTGGATCTTCTATAAGCTCTTACAACTAGCACAAGACACTGTAGATCTATTCTCTCTCAGAATCCGTAATAGGAGAGTACCGGTAGGTATAAGGCCCCCAAAACATGCAATATAGTTTTTAACAGGGCTGATTCTGAAATCATGGTCAAATCCTTCTTCAATGTTGTTCTAACAAGTACATGTTGAATGAGCTCACCTCTTTGTCATTTGCACTTATCCCATCAAACACCTTGGCAACAAGTTCATCTGTTTCAGGATCAATAAGGAACACAGAACACCTACAACACAAGTATTTTCATTGTGGAGACTATTTCATAAAGCACATGAAAAATGAATTTCATCATGATATGCTTATCAATTGAAATTTTACAGAAAATAACTATTTTTTAACAAACACTCTCATTTTTATCAACTGTTAATATCTATGAAGCCACAACTAACCTTTTTCCATTTCCAATTTAAAACCCAAGAGAACCTCATTTGTCACCTATCTATTCATGCATTACAAGAGGTATCTAACTCATGTATGTTATCCTTACCTTTCTGCATGTGTGAGATTTCTTGCTTCTTGCATAATTTCTCTGAGTAGTTTTGTAAGGTCATCTGAAATGAATGAGGAGCACTTTGAAAAGCATTGCTGAAACAGCCTTTCTTGCTATTTCAAACATCATTCAGGGCCTCTCAAATCAACATATGTGCACAATATAATTTATTGCTTTAATGTTTTAAACAAACATAATACAGAGAAATTGAACCTAAAATAACTGGGATAAATGGTGATTGAAAAACCTTGAGTAAGTTTCTTAATTCAACAATAATTGTACCTTGGGGATGATGCAGAATATATGATCAAACCAATATTGATTAGCAGAAGATTAGTGAATCAAAGAAATTGAAATAAACAATGATTATATTCAAACATGATTATTACAACTTTGATGTTAAATGTAAGTACTGAAATGTTAGTAGACAGCAACATTAAATGAACAACATCAGTTATGTTCGGATATGTTGTGAGAAGTTGTGTCATGTTCAGTGATGAACAGCTGCATGCATGCACTGTTTGGTATTGTTTCCTCAGTCCATATGTCCAGTCAATATCACTCACATATTCGAACACAAACAAGTCATCTAATCAACTTGTTTGAAGTTACTCAGTAAGTCTACAGTGTAGGCCAATGGACATGTTTTCTTTGTCAACAATAACTGTATCTGTGTTGATTTACAATATCATACATATCTAGCAAACGTTGTGTGATTGTTTATGTGTCTCTGTGATTGTATGAGTGTGTGTGTGTGTGTGTGTGAGAGAGAGAGAGAGAGAGTGAGTGAGTGAGAGTAGATGAGTGAGTGAGAGTGTGTGATTGAGTGTGGGGCTGAATATTCCTTCTGTAGAGAAGCATTAAACTGATGTCATTTGCCTGAATCTTACAACAACTATTTGTGTGCTGTCCCTTTGGTAAACTCTGTGTGCATTTATAAACTTATACTTCCAAACCTGAACAAGAACCACAACAAGGACAGAACTGATGACTGGAAACAAGAACATGAATTCTTGCACCTACTTTTCTTAAAGAGATTGCCCCTAGCAATGGGCACCTGTATCTCTGACATGACATACGTGCTGGATGTCCACAACTCCTGCTGGTGTCGGAGCCAGCTTGTGGTGTTGGTGGGGATCTCACTGAAGGAGTGGATGTAAGGCACATGTTTGGTGGAGATGACATGCTTTACCCTGGTTTCTGTGTCTTCTACAATTACTGTTTGCTCTGACTGTTTGCTGGTATTCATGTTTAGGGTTAAGGCAAGCTCACTGTTTAACTGTTCCATGCTGGAGGAGTCATCATCGATGAATGCATTGTTCAGGCAATTGGAACTGCTGCCTGAGATGGTGAGGCTTGTATTACCTTGATTTCCAGTCTTTGCTAAAGCAGGTGCACTTACTGACATGTGAACCTGGCTTCCAGCGCTTTCAGCATCTACAGTTTTCACAATATCTGGCAACTGGCTGGACATGTTTTCTGAGGTAATACATGAATCTGATCTACTTATCTTCTTATCTAACTTCAACTTCAAAGAAGCTTCAACCCATATATCAAAGAACCTCTGTTTGCATGTCTTGTCATCATCTTCAACTGCCATAGTTCTGAATGCTGTTGACGGTCCATCAGTGTCCTCCGAGAATCCCACGGACAGGTATTCATCACAGCTCACATCAGTGAAGACCGGGCTGAAGTACTTCTCAGTGCCACTCATTGGTGACACTTGCTGCAGGTCCATTTCCTCATCACTACTACTAAAGAAGTCATCGCTAGCTGCCTGGTCCTTGGTAGGCATGGTTGGATCAGATTCAGCTGAAACCTTACGCTGTCTCTTGTAGGGAGAAACTAAAGCAGCTTTTTTTCCAGGTTCTTCTTTTGATACTTTTAGTTTTGGAGATTTCAGCTTCGGGTGAACTTTGTGGTCTAACTTTCCTGCTTTCTCAGGTGACCTATCATTGCTACTGTTAGTGAGTGCATTTGCTAACTTTTCTTGCTGTTGAAGCTGCTTTATTATGTTAGTGTCTATGGCAGTACCAGCAAGCAGGGAGGAATTGTTAAAGCTCTCCTGGAACTGTTTGCTCATTGTCACTGTGGTGTTACAGAGAGAGTCACTAAAGGCAGTAGGTACTGTGTTATATGCAGAAAAATGCTTGCCAAGTGCAAAAACAAACTCACCTAGGCGGGTAAATAGATTTTTGGCTACATGTAAAAGTGCCTGAAAAAAAGGGAACAGATATCAATAACTGGTATTTATAAGCTCTGGCATGCATGTAAGCATCCTGCCAAATGAATTTCAATTTCATTTTTCATTCCATGTGACATTAACCTGAACGCATACCTGTATTGTGCAAGATATACAGGTTGGAAAATCAGGCCACAGAACTGTAGCTCACCTGGGTATGTATTCAACAATCTAACATGCTGACAGATACTCAACAAGTATAGCCAGTTTTGCTACTCAAGTAAATAGATAGATAGATAGATAGATAGATAGATAGATAGATAGATAGATAGATAGATAGATAGATCATATCATATATAATTATATGAAGACAAAAGTAGTACCATATTTATATGAATCAAATAACTAACTATCCATAATGTCTTCACCAAGAATCCTACAGATTTAAATATAATATGATAATAAGGAGAACTGAACATGCTTCCTTTGACTCACAATTTCAGAGACGTTCACAGGGGGGTGTGGTGGGTTTGAAATAACCCCCAAAACAGCCTGCACTTTGAGATAATTCAAGAGATTTACAATAAATTTTAAGCAAAAATGGCTGAGTGGACATTAATATAACTCAATATAACTGATTTGGTCATTTAGAACAATACATGTGAACCTCTTCAAAAATTGGGGTGTTGTCACATGTAAAGTTTCAGCTAAATTTGTTCAGTGGTTTCTGAAGAAGTCATGTTTGCAATGTGAGGAATTGCATTTTGAACATCTATTTAATGTCTATGGTTTAAACAGTCATGGGAAGACAACTCAGACTAAAATTGCAGACAATGCTGCAAGATGTATTTGTTTTTAGTGTTGGAAGGGATATTTAATGGGCGCCAAACATGACATGCTCACTATAAGTTTAGAAATTTGCCAATTATTTTAGTCTACATGGTGTACCTGTTCACAAACCTTGAGATTTTATGTTTTCAATGCCCAAAACAGGAATTGTTTGTTTTATTTTTTAACCAGTATGGCACCAATGCTAGTTTCAGTTTGATTTCCTGTAGGTTGGTTTTCAAGACAGCTGCAGCGTTTGGATCCAACTGGCCAATCCACCAAAGATCGGATGAAGGAGTTTAAAATAAGGTGTTGAGTTGTACATAGGTTGAGCTCAAAACCACACAAACTAACCATACAAAAAACAATTTTCAACACAATGTGAATGAATACTCTCATTGCTATGCAATGGCCATTAGCGGTTTCTGCTATCAGTAGTGTCTGAGTTATAAAGGTGAAATTACATGGCAAAAGAAATTGGAACATATATATTGAGCTCTTCTTCTTTTACACATTCATTCCATTTTTAATAAAAAATAATATCCCCAAAATCTTCAGAGCAATGGTCAAAAATAGGTTTCTTAATATGGCTGCCATACAGAGATTCCAACACTAGAACTAGAAGCTGCTGTTAGTCATTTTCAGTTCTTTAAAACATATGGTTGATGGACGAGTCAGTGGTCATTGAATTATACTGTCATTGGAGCAATACATTTAATGGCTATATATATGTCTAGCTTAGCCAGCTACACTGTTGTTTAAATATAATCTGAAGACCTTGTAGAACTTCAGTGATAATATTCAAACTGGCAGACATAAATTTGCTTCCTCGCCTAATTCTTCCATGAGTACAAGGACTTTTGATGTCTTCACTGACACTAATGGCATAATAGTATGCAGTAGCTAGAAGAAGGCTCGTAAAACTTTCACTCACTCAGTTGTATAAGGCGAGCTTCACAGTATGCACTGAAGTCAAGTGAACTTACATTGTGCCATCTTTGTATGTCATTTGTTGTAAACATCTCAGAAGCCAATGGACTATTCAATTTGTTCTAGAGGTTCAAATCACATTTTCATTTTGAGTGATGTATTTATGAATCATTAAACATTTTACAGAGCTGAAATCAACATATCGGTCAATCAAATGATCTTACTTGAGTTTGAATCTTGAGCTTCCTTTCATTTTGAAATGCCAGTGTGCTGGTGAGAACAGTGGCGGTGTATTGAAAACATTGGTGGATTGCATAAACATCTTCACTAGTGAATCTGAAAACAATGATTTATATTGGAATGTTTCTTCACATCAACAAAATAACACAAAAGAACAACATTAATATTAATATTGTAAAGTATACTGGCAGAATGTCATACCTGCACTTCATGTAGGTGAGTGAGTATGGTTTTATGCTGTTTTTAGCAATATTCCAGTGTTAGCAATATTCCAGCAATATTGCGGCGGGCGAAACAATAAATGGGCTTCACACATTGTACCCATGTGGGGAATCGAACCCGGTCTTTCGGCGTGACGAGCCAACACCTTAACCACTGGGCTACCCCACCGCCCACGCTTCATGTAATGCAGTGTAAATATTATGTTATTGAAATAACAACACAATGTATGGCCATTTGTCTGATCAATGTTTCATCACAACAAATTCATTGATAAAAACCCAACCTGGTTACAAAGCTACGTCCTAAAAAGGTGTTGGTGTAACAACTCAATTAACAGTGTGAATCAGCTGTGACCACTATGTGTGTTGATGCAGGCAAGGCAGCAGTGCAAAGGCGAGGTAGCAGCGGTGCAATGAAAACATCAGTTGATTGAAAACAGAAAGGCGGATGTTGTTCCATTTGTCAACCAAAGATTTTCTCAAATGAGCTAGTGTCACCAGCTGGTTGTTATTCTGTCTAAGGTAAATTACCATCTCATCCCAGAAAATTTCTGCGGGAGAGATGTGAAGAAATAGCTGGGCATGGCAGAAAAGCAATGGCATACTGCCTCAAAAAGTGTGTTACAGCAAGTTCAAGGTGCAAGGTGCAAGCAGGCATTATCCTGCTGCAACATGATGTTACATCCCTGCATTTGTACTAAAGGTAGAACCTGAATTTTACATATTTCTTAGTCCAGCAACAAGGTTTCCTTTCACAGCTCAAGCTTCATAAACATTAAGACTTCATCATAAAAAATCTGATTCGGCTATAAAAACCTACACATATAATACATGAACAGATGAAATTAGGAATATAAATGAAATCCTACCCAATTGTGCCTTTTTTTGTTGGCCACACATGCTAGAGCTATCAAGTCATCACAATTTTTCCTCCTGACTGGCACACACAGGAACGATTCCAGTTTCGAACCTATGTGATCTTCCAAACCAGCCCGGCGGTCCTGCCAACACAACACAAAGTGTCATCACAATAAACTGATTCAAAACCTTAAACTGATTCTTTTCAAACATCAAGATTATGCAATTGTGACATATTTTCAGAACTATGGGAATATATGGACTTTTAAAATACAACACATATTTAGGACCAATGTCAGATGATAGGTGTATGACTAGGGATCTAAAATATTTCTTACTTGAATGGAAGAGTTATTCTTTCAATTACAAAACGTTAAACACAGTAGCTCCTGTAATTATGTTGAGAAGAGTTAATACAGTGATTGCTCTAGGCCAGCCAGCAGACCGGTGGTAATTTATGACACTGTTCACGATAATGACACTCAAAACATGCATGGCCAATTGACAGACACAAGACTTTCCCACCTGTGGAATATCCTCCAGGCATATTGGCTCCTTGGTTTGCAGAGCAACAGCAAAACTGCTGGTTTCTCCCTGTGAAACAAATGACAAGTATCTGTATTAGCACTCAAGGCTACATGATGGGATTAGCTGTTATAGGGCTTTCTCTTGATCATACACAATTGCTGGCTGGAGGGAGTAACTTGATGGATCAGGTCGGAGGTGGCATGGTACAGGCTATTTTTATCAGTGTTTCACAGGCAGTGAAAAAGTAGTTCTTAAAATAAATCAAATTTAGAATTTGTTCTTGGAAAATATATTACATCTATCTGAGGACAACCTGATACAAACAAGCATAAACTACTCCTATCCCCTACAAAACTCAACACTTTGGTTACAAAAGGTGCCTGGGAGTCAATGACATTTAATCAAAATCTGATTTACACACTCTGAGTAGACATGTACCTTAAGCGATCTATAGTATGGTGCTATATCATGGACATCAGTGACTATCATTGGAAATTCTGGTCATTTTCATATAGAATTTAAAAGTATAAAGGATAAAATATTCCCAAACCATGAAATTAAGCAGTTGACCATCTGATTGAAAAGTGAACAAATACAATTTGGTCACTGATAATCATTTGTTGCCTAAAAAACAGAACACCTAAAAGGTTCCAAAATTCATGAATAGCAGAATTCATGATCACACTAATAAAAGAAACTGATCAAGAAATATTGAACACTGTCTGATTTATGCTCTGGAAACACAATGTGAAGGATGGACAGCACCCATGATGATTTGTCCTACCACTTAATAGCAAGTAATGTTCAAAAGCCTGTCATTGAGTACAAAACATTGAATTGAATCTTGAATATCTTGCGTATGATAATTGAAAAGTACTGAGGTGGAAGATAACAAGCTTTCAATTTTCTTGAAAGGTGTTTTGCCAGATCAGTGCTAATTATCTCTATATCAAAATTGTCTTATCGACATTAGTCACATATGATATTCATTTGCCCTTGCATCAACATATTTACAAGATATATCCCCTCAGACTACTGAGGCAGTAAGGATTACAGGAGGAATTCCTGCCTGTGGCTCTAATTACTGACCATTTGGTGGATGAACTCCATCAGGAAATTGGCTAGTGTCACAGCTCTCCATTCTAAACCTACTTTTTCTTTATTTTGAAAAGGAAATGGATCACTGGCTGCCTCAGAGTGCTCTCAAATTAACAGAACATACAAAGGCAAGCCAAATTATGTTCATGATCCATAGGGGAGAAATGGGAGGTATTTCTGTATGATGATGTCAAGAAGTTTGTGACCTAGTGAGTGAGTAAGGTTTTATGCCTCTAAAATTTTGCAATATTCCAGCAATATGCTTTGTATCTTGAACACATATGAATTTGTTTTCTATTTTCTGTAAGTGTTTCCTAGTAATAGATTCTGCATTTACAAACAAAGACACACCGGACAAAATAATATGATAGAATATTTTCAGCTTTTTTAATTACAAAATTATTAGATCTTGAAAGCTATACTTTTTCTCTAACCAGACATTGCTGTGGGAAAGAGCTTGATATGATAAACAATACAAACAAGCCAAGATACTTCCCCCATCATGGCCATGACGGGCAGTACACAATTTTGCCTACACTCTGCATATTATCCAGTCTTCACAGAATTTGATACTGACAGATTTGCAACACTGTTGCTAAGACCTCTGGAAAAAGTACTTTCATGCCCAGGAAAACATTCAATGTGAGGTACTCTTTTGTCTTGACATTCCCAACATGAGTGCAGGACACTATCTCATCGTTCTCAGTCTTGACATGTTCTTGAGATTATCCAGGTCTGTGCTTACACAACTGATTGTCAACCAAACTGTACCTAAGCAGTATATGAGAGCTACAATGTTGAGATATTATGACAAGTGTCAATTAGTTTATATCTCTAGCAGTACAACAACTGTACTTCCCAACACAATGCAGTCAGGCTTAAGCAGCTTAAAAGGTGACTTAACTGGATAAAGAGAGATAAAGGCAGCAGGAAGAAAGCGAATGACTTAATGCTGTCACATACAAGGAGCTCTGGGGACCCAATTGTCTCTGCGTAAGACAGTGCAGTCTTCAGTGTTCTGGCATCATCGTCCCAAGTGGATATAATGAGATTCACCAGATCGATCAACAAAGGCAAGAAACTAATGACACTCACAAAGTAAAAGATAGTTTGGAACACCACCTTTGAGCACATTTTCTTCTGTTCTTCCACTTCAAATGTAATATGACTGACTATCTAGGTTCTGAAGAGGCATATATAATGACACTTGAACCCTGATTTTTTTTAGCTAGTGAGACCTTATTGAAACCTTGATATGTCTAGACATTCAAGAAAACGAGGCATGGACATCCAGACAGGAATCAACAACAGCTGTGTGAGAAGAATGTGGTCTTTGTATTCAAATGAGCTTAGTGTTACCTCTGACATATTGGATTTGGGGACTAATGTTAGTCCAAAGTGCATCTATATTTATCCACTTGGCAAAAACAACACTCCAACTTAGGGCTGTTGATAAAATGTTTGGACAAAGCAAGTAGCATCACTAAACTTTCATTCCTATAATCCGACTCTGATTGGCATTATCTGATGTAAACAGGAGTTGCCTGGTCTTGATAACTCTGTCTCACAGAGACCAAGGAAGGAATGCATAGGCCAAAGTGAGTTGAGTGAGTTTAGTTTTACTCCACTTTTAGCAATATTCCAGCAATATCACGGCGGGGGACACCAGAAATGGGCTTCACACATTGTGCCCATGTGGGGAATCAAACCCAGATCTTCAGCGTGACGGGTGAACGCCTTAACCACTAGGCTACCCCACCGCCCCCATAGGCCAAAGTACACTTCCAACTCATGGACAGACCTTGATTGTAAACTGGCAGTGTGGTTTAGGCAGGTAGAGAAGTGACCTATATGAGAAGTGTCGCATTTCTTCACAATTGGAACACTTCTATAGAGACCCTTACGTTGAAATCTGCCAAGATTTGGAATTTCCCAAAATGTGGCAAGTCTGCAGTAGACCAAGTGTGCCAATTTGATCAAATGCATAACATCCTTCATTAAATTCACTGACCATGTTCCTCCCTGCTTCTGGACGTATGCTACCACAGAAGCGTTGTCTGTTGCTACCAACACTGTTGTCTTTGATTCCATGTCCTGTAAAGTCTGTTGGGTAGATTTTGATCTTCCAAACTCATACTGCTTTGGTTTATGAACAGTAGAGGAGTGCAAATGGTAGGTAAAGTAGGAATCTGGCTCTTGATATATGTGATGTCCTGTACTTTTGTCAATTTTGATTTGATGAAAGTGTGGCAAAACAACTTCAACTGAATGAGTTAGTTCTGTTTTGATAGGAAATCTTCTGTGTAATAGAGGGGTCTTGCTGGATATAGATAAGCCAACATGATCACAGGGGTTGAAATCCATGTGAAGAGTGAAGGAGCTATGGAAGAAGTATCCCTTTTCATAGAAGATAACAAATGACTACTTGATTCTGTGATGACTGATTGATTCTGTGAAAATCCCAATACACTCACAAACACTTTATCCTTCAAATATAGAGTAAATATATCCAATATGAGTGAAATTTGAAAATTTAAGCATAAATTTTTCCTAGAGCGAACATCAACTTGATTTTTGTGAACTTACTTTCCTGAAAGAAGCTATCCCTTTCAACCTGCCCATTTGCAGAAAATGTTTTGGTGAGAATATCCTATCTGCATTGTGATAGAAGATGCATTAAGTATGTTGAAAATCTTTAGATTCTTTAGAGAGATGCTTTGATACAGTAGTGTATTCAAAGGAATCAATGTTCTGACCTTGTCCAAGGTTTTTGATAGCATATTGTATACATGTCTTCAATTCATCAAAAGTAGGTTAATATGTATTTAACTGGACCAGTAAATAGGTTGCAAATATGGGTAGACTTGAGATAACAGTTTGACTTGACTCTGCCAGTAAGAAATAATTCATGTAAGAGAGGAGTGATACTACACAGTACTCATAGACAAACAGAAACATTATTCAGTGAGGTCACTGTGATCTAAAATGCAAACATAAGGGATGTTGGTGAAAATTGCAGTTCCAAATCCAAAGAATTATTTGTTCTGAGCATCTAAGTAAAATATTTCCGTGCACTTCTTTCACAGTTAGCATGCAAATTACACTAAAAATTGGAAGCCGTAGGGCAACTTCGAAATAGAGGTTACACCAGTATTTTTGTAATGATGATATCGCCTGAACCTCTTCAGCAATCCTTGAATGGCAACTTGTGGCTGGCTATCACTAATTTGTTTCAATTCCCAAAATTTTTGCTCATCAGCACATTGAAAGCTGAACATTTCCCATGAGAACAGCTGCATTTCAAAGTCTTATTACTGCAAGGCAACTTCTCACATGCAAGTGAAATATGATGTAGGGTTCCTGTATACAATGTAATAACACAATGTAAACATTCCAACAACATGAAGACAGCTTTCATACTACTTACTGGAAAGCGAATTTCTTCCGCTAATATTGTGTTTCCAACTACCTGCAAATGGTAAACAAATGAATATAAACACAACATTGTGATGCAGAATCCATTATCAGTACTACTTGAGTGAACAACAGGGCACAATAAACATTCCTTTGACAATGGTAGATACTTGACAAAGTTTCATTCTACTGCTTAAGACTAGATGTAACAAACCTAACATTTTCTAACCATCAATAGAATATAGCAAATCGTAATCAGCTGATATGCTGACAACACCACACAGCAACATCAGCTCGGCCTTACTTTCACATTTTATACAAACCAAAATCAAAATATTCATCAAGCCATTAAGGTAACATTTCATTTTAAAGGGAAGGCATTTTTAATACTTTAAAAAAAATCTTTGATAATTAAGGACTGAATATATGAAATGAGGAAAGAGAAGCAGGCTTTGTTGTCAAATGTCATGGGAGTTGAATGCAGTAATGCACACAGAGTTCCAGTCTTTGATGTCTCTTATGTTGGCTGTATCAAATGGCCATGACAGAGCTTGCTGTATGAGTACACTGACATGTGACCACTGTTCCTTCCCACTGCACTACTGTTGAGCAGCAGTGGGCAATGGCAGCACATCAGGCATCCATGTATTACATGTTACTTGTCAATTCCACCGCCAGCTGACACATAACTGACATATCCACTAATGAAACATGAGCCTAACGATAGCTAGTGTCATAAATTGTCAATGTCAATCATACATGAAACATAACAAGACAGATATTGAAATATACTTGCAAATGCAACATTAGGCCAGTGGTCAGTGTAGGCTGAATATTTACCTGTTGCCTAGCACACTGTATCAATAACATACACATAAAGCCATCAAGCTGTGGAAAACGAAGCTCATCATAAGGAGGAGGGATATACTAGCCAGGCACTCAGAAGGCAGGGCTGTTTACAAAGCAAGAATTATGGGGGCTATTCCTGGAAATACGAACCAATCAATGATTGCGCCTTTGGCATTTTCTACCACAAGATAACGAAATAATTCAATCAGATCCATATACTGTAGAGAAATTTGGATTTTCAGATGAGGCCAACCAAGAAGAAATCAATGTGGTGGCATTATAATGTCATTACATTCTGTGTTACTTTTTACACCGATATCATACTATGCAAACAAGTCTTTGAGAAAAGTACACAAGCATCATTGGGGTTATCATCCCTTGTGGCCAGTTATGACAAAGTTTAATTTCACAATTCATGTAACAGTTTCATGTCTGTTATGATCTGATAACTTATGTCATGTTCATTTCAACATAAGAAATAGAAAACATTTTGTAGAATATGCAGGTATTTGTCTAATAATTCGATCACCTGATTTAGTATGATACAAAGCTTATCCTTACCTGACAGAAAAGTTCATTTGTTTCTTTGACAACAATGAGTAAAAATGCTTTCTGTGCCTGTGTTCGTTGCTCCAACTGCCAAACAAAAATATGAAGATAAATATATCAAATATCATAACACGTATCCATAATATACAAGTATAGCCAGAGAAGTACTATCGACTGACTGCATTCAGATATGTATATATTTATTCATGTTATGAACCTAGAGTCACCAGCTCTGTTGGCTGCACAAAATTAATTGTAGACTGCTAAAACGTTGTGGCTAGTTAAGATGTTACGTTGCAACAAGTCCAAAACTACTGGGTGGCTATTGACATTATTTTTCAACACTATTTATTATTTGAAAGTCCTCATAAATCATACACATCAGTCATGATATAAGTGACAGTTAATCCAACACAAACAAGACCAAAACACGACATAAGAAGTCTACCTAAATCTACAAAAGAAACAGAACAACAGGAATGATGGGTGACTACTATTTACCTCCCACTGCTAATTTTAAGGCATTTACCGTTCCTTCCACACATGGCAACCAGATAAGGGGCAAACAGGCTAATACTAATAGAAATTGACATGCTTAAGCTATGTTATTTTCCATTGTAACCTATCATTACAGTAATGGCTGTTATCAAAGAAGCACAAACGTCACCATCATGGTACAAATACTATTATAAACATTGAAAATTGACATCAATACAGAATTCAATCCATGCAAAGTTGGTTGTAAAAACATGTTTTAATTATGCCTTTGATAAGTTTGAAATAAATTGGTATTTCTTCAAATGCATTTGAATACTTACATATTTAATGACTTTGAGTTGAAGTGATGCTGCATCATGGTCATATAGTTCTCCTACATAACAACAAAAACACATAATAATGACATTAGACATGGCAATGTGACGGAGTCCCTTGTAAATTGAGGAACCATTAAACATTAAACATATTACAACCTTACATATAAGTTAATTTAGTACTGCCATAAACAACTATGTTGACATCAATAGCTAAATTTTTACGGCAAAGAAAATCTTGATGTTGTAGATCATAAAATATATGAGTTCTGAGAAGACCAACCCTTGAAGTTTAACAATACTATTATGTTAGTTGACAAAAGACAACACGAAGCAGGTAGACTGTAAACAAAGAGTTGCCAAACTTGATATGGTAACCAGTACGAAGCACTATGTCAAGTATTAAATTACAATAAATTACAGGACATTTAGATATGATTAATGTCATTCTGTGCACATTCTTTGTATTACAGTGAACCTTACGACAATAAACTACAAGATGTCCAGAGTACCATTGTTTACAGTATGTGTAATGACCTTGAAAACACATTAAACCGCAGGATGTAAAGACTGAATGCCACATTGTGGGAATTCATTTCATGCCTACAGCTAATTCTATTAGTTACCAGTTGCAGTGTGCACATACAACTGGGTTATGTCTATGTCTTATTTCTAAATACATGTGTTTGTATGAAGGAAAAGCAACTCACCGCACAAATTGATGAGGGCTTCAAAGTGGGTGTCATCTGCACAAATGCTCTTTCTCCTTGTCACAGAGTTTTTTTGGTGAGATGATAACATACAGATACCTAAGAACATATGGAAATAAACTGATGCAACATTTATATGAGAAATCTGATTTACAAAATGTATATAAGGTTTAGATGTTTGGTATACCAAATGGACTGAGTACTGAATGGTATTCCAATTATATCACTGCACATATGTTGTACTGAAAAAAATGATATTAAAAAATCAAAACAACAGTTGGCACTGTTAGTAATTCCAGGAATCACCTCTATTACATCACTGCCATAAACCCTGTATTTGGCATAACTTTCAGATTTTCAACAGATGTCCTCTTCACTGTCAACAATACATAACTTAAGCACTGTCGGAAATGCTAGAAAAATGCTTTTTGACTTATATTTAATATTCAGAGGTATTACAGTTACTTAAATAACAAATATCAATTTAATAAACATCTACCTAATGTAGACCGAGGGAATAAAGTTTGAGACATGCCCTAAAATGTGTTTTTACTGATGAAAATACCCAAAACGTAGAAAAATAAGGGGTAGTGGGACGTTATTTGATACAAATATTAACTGCCTGTGTTACGTCATCAGCATGCACGGTATCGACAGGTGAAATTGACACCTGAGCACACGCTCGGGCGAGGGGTCATCTCAATAGATGTTATCTTCTAAATGTTGAATATGAGCATGTATAGTATACGTATTGGTTATGTAAGGGATCATTTGTGTATGTGTGTTTGTTTTTAAATAAACATACGAATTACTGTACATTGGAAAGAATCCTATCACTTGTGTTATCTTATCGATTGATTGTAGAAATGTGCAACGTTTTAATAAATGTTTTGCATGTCAACAGTATATTTCATTGCAAATATATGAATGTAATTCGGTCAGTTTAATCTTGTTGTGAACATTGGCCAAAGATTTAACGAAGTCACTGGTGTAGCTTCTTTTGAATATATATATATTCTTCTTCTAAAGTTTGTAGCCCGCCGTCTCAGTACTCCCTTGTCAAAGTTGTCAAGGATGGTTGTACTTCCCGGTTTTGCTTTTGAGACGGTCCCTGTCTTGTCTGATTTGTTTACAATATTGTAAACTTGTTGGTAAGACATACCAACAGCTCTACAAGTTCTGTAATAAACCCTTTCTAAACTAAAGAAAGGTTTACCTCTGTCTTTTTCAAGCACAATAAAACGTATAAACCTTTGCAACAATCGACTACAAATAGTTGGCCATAGTGGACGCTGTGATAAAGATGTGCATGCATGACGGGAAACTTATTTATCAAGACTTAACATTTATATGAATATTTCTCCAATAAAGAAACGATAATTAAGTAAAGTAACACAAACATTCAACATTTATTTGTTTAAGAAAAACGTAAATTCCTATTTTTACACCACCTGTATTATTTGCATTTATTTAAAGACTATTTCAGATTTCTGTTGTTGAACTCTGAAAAAATCTTATGTTGTTGTTTTGGTACCAAATTCTCTCCTGTAAACTGCCCTTTAAATGCATGGGAATGTTAAATCGATTGAAATAAAAATTAGGTACACTATAGGCGAGTTGATATATTGACAACATAGTACATTTATTACCTTTATAAAGATATATGGGCAAAAAAGCATTTTTCTAGCATTTCCGACAGTACTTTAGTTGTCCTTGTAATGTAACTATCAGCTTGCAGCTCAGCTGTACAAGGCCAGAAAATCATCACTACTTACCAAACATCTACATGCTAAACTTGACATAGATAATTAGGGACCTGGAAGGGAGTACCTTTGAATTACCGGTAATACAGGTAATATTCTTAGAACTGTTAACAATTATACTTATGTTTTTATAATTCTGACAAATACTCTACCTCTATTTCATCATTGACTGACTGACTGAGTTTTGGTTTTACGCCGCTTTTAGCAATATTCCAGCAATATCACGGCGTGGGACACCAGAAATGGGCTTCACTCATTGTACCCATGTGGGGATTCGAACCCGGGTCTTCGGCGTGACGAGCCAACGCTTTAACCACTAGACTACCCCACTGCCCCTCATCATTGACAGAACATACCGGAGGGAGCGCAGGTTCTGCCTCTAGTTCCATCCCTGTAGAGCTGTCAGTAATCCTCATTATACCATTTTTAAGACAGCTTCAGATAACTTCCAACTAAGTTTTACAATAGGATTCTTTACAAGCTTAAAGGTCACATGCAACTTTGCAGTATGGACTTACCGAAACAAATCATCAAAAATGCAAATTCAACTTATAAAGTTGAAAAATAACGCGATGAAAAAACCCGCGTGAAATCGTAGTTAAAACGATTCACTAACTTTCCTCCATCGCTTGGAGGAATTGAAGTGGTTTCAACAACTGGGCTGCGCTCATAGCACATGCGCAGTGAAATAGGTTCGCGGAGCTTGGAAGCGGGTTGTCCCGTGAATATTCGGTGAAGGCTTTGGTGTGAGCTATTTTTCTACTGTTTTGTTGATATTTCACAGGCGCAAGCTTTTAACATGTTATTACAGTAGATTACCGATTTAACTGTTTATATAATTTCATTTGTCTATTTCACCACATGTTCTTCTTACCGAGTCACTTTCTCAGTTCGATACTTAAAAGCAATGTCATTATTTAGCGTCGACAGAATTTCTGTGATATAGATATGTCGTTGTCACAGACAAAACTCAATGTCTGTTTTATTGGCACCTATGTGTCTGCCTGCCCGTCTGCTAATGACAATATTCAATACACAAAAGTTCAATCACTGACCACATGCAAATTGAACTTTAACACCTATCAGACTATACACCATAAACAAAACGCATTGATTTATGGCCCGAGTTCGGTCTCCGCCACATTTTGTAATTACACAGACAGGCAGGTGTGATACTTGTACACATGACATGTTTTGATGTCTGTTGATTGCAAAATGTTATACACAAAAAATGAGCATGTATTTACAAAACCCAACATCTCTATATATACACACACAATGAGCCGTGAAGGCTTCTGCAAATGAACCAGCCGTTACACTTGAGTGCACACCCACCCGCTCTGACAGGGTTCGGTATCCCGGCTGCTTCGTTTCTTGGGAAGTAAACCCAAGAACAAAATATTGCACTTTTTTATTTGAGATTGTACGCTTATAATTTTGTTTTTATGTTTTTTCATAACCAGTAATGTATATTATATGTCATGAATAAGTGATAATTGTGTTTTAATTATGTTTGATTTTTTAGTTGCATGTGAAAACTGTGGAAACAGGGAAAATGAGTCATGCATCTCAGACGTCTTCATAGAATCCAGAGTACACAACACCTCCCTACATTTGTAGTGCGATAGATCAGGATCCATGACAATCTGTTGGCAGCTACAAACTGGGCAAAAGTGGGTGGAATCCTTTTCCAAACACAATAACAAACACTCTGGTTCAGAAATGAATTATATCAAATATATGAACAAAAACGATAATAATAATTTAACTTTGAAAAATTTGAAATTTCTTGTGCAAAGATCAACTGATTACTGTGAATCTGAATCTATTGTTCAATTGTGTAGGGAACAATTTTCACTACCATTTTTAGCACAAACAGAAAGAGAAGTGACACATTTCCCTCCTTGTGTATGCTTGGAGGTGTGTTTTGGTGGGAATATTCAATCAGCATCAGGATTGGGTGATAGCTGGCAGCATGGACGAAAGTCTTGAAAATCTTATGACTTTGTACTGTGAGCAAAGTCAATGCACCGAAATAATGGCCATGATGTAACTGAGGTAGTGTATTTGAAAGAATTATACAAATTAGAGTTAACAATTATGCTGTCTTTTGTCAATGTCTGACTGGCAAATCACTGACACTGACACATAAACTGACATACAAAAGAAAGAACACTCCTGGTGTTTTGGGATTATTTGAAAAGTGTTGTGATTTTGACTGGCAACTTCGCAATTGCTCACGATATCTGTGGTGTTTTGGCAACATATTAGGAATGTCTGTGACTTATATATCACTGTAAAAACTCTTTTCAAAACATTTACGTCGCTTTTTGGAAAGTAATCCAAAAGCACCAGGTGTGTACTTTCTTTCGTACGTCAGTTTATTATATAAATGTGATACTTTCGGGAAAACTGGCTTTGAGAGAGATGAAAATACCAAGTAAAAGTTGCTTTGAAGAGGAATTTAAAAAGACATTTTACAATTATATCATAAATAGTCATGCATGTGTGTTTTGGATGGCAGATATCCTTCATTAGTGATAAATACATGTTCTTAGCAAGCAAGGTTGGCTAAATACAATGTGAGTTCCTCATACAATACATTTACATAAAAAAACTGATAAACCCAAGTAAAATATTTGTCTTGGTATTGTTGCTGATTAACCTTGAATAGGGACCTCTGACTCCTCGAGCTAATCAATTCCCTGTCACAAATGCACAGCAAGAACAGTCAAGACAATTCAAACAGTTCCCAACAACAGTGGGCTACAGTCTCCAACCTCCAGAACAACAACAGGCACGTGCAGCCAAGACGTCTAAGGCACCACAGTACAGAGTTGTGTCACCTGGCCACACCACAACACTGTGACTATGGGGCTGAATCTTTGACTAAACCTGATTAAGTTTCTAGGTCTGTCAGCATCATACCCATGCTTGTGGTAAACGTCGGACACTTGCTATGCTACAACATGTGCTTTGGTGCAAACAAATACATATTTGAACATAATTCATTTCCTGCACACATTTGACCCCAATTACAGACTAACCACAATTGTGGTTCTGGATAAAAACTGCTCCAAGTTAATGGATGACTCACAAAATAGTGCATACACCCTTTAGGATCTGGTACAACATTGTGTTTCATCTTAAGACTCACATGACCCCAGTGATTCATCACATGACCATTTGAAAGGTTATGTCACAACGTCACATCAAACTTACATTTTTTTTAATTAAAAGATGTGCAAAGCAACCTACCTGTTTTGCTAGATATGTGAGGTTTCCTTCTTCTGTTGCGGAGCAGGAAGTTTTACCTGACGGTAAGGATGCCTGTATCAAAAGATCATGGTTCAACTGTGTCAAGCAAATATCTAATTATGACTCTCACATGTTGATCTGCACAATAGCTGCAAATCCATTGCTACTCATTTGGAATTTACATAAAAACCTATTTGTGACACGTTGGATGCGTTTGTTTGCATGCTTCATATTTAACATCTATTTCATATTATGAAACAGATGTAGTCTTTGTTATGGCAACAAGGAAGCTGTCATCCAAGAGGTGCTTGAAAAGTTCTGAGCCTAACAATGCAGGATGTATAGTAAATCATTTGCATGTATTAATATCAATACATGGCCAAAGCTGCATTTGAATGAAAGACACAACCAAGCAGGATATTTCAGCAGGTATTAAATTGGCTTCTGCACTGTTATCAAGTATCTCAATCTTAAGAGGCAAGCAACAACCATTTCTCACATTGTATCAGCTCTAGGGGATGAAGCTACTCATTTACCACTATTACCAGGTAGAAGAGGTTCTTTAAGAGGCAAAGAGACAACCTTGAAAATGATCATAGATCAGGAAGATCTTCAACTACCACCACTAAGAAAAAGGTTGATAAATATACAACATGTTAATGGATGACTGAAGACTTGACAGACATCACACAGCTGAAACAGAAAGCATCTCTCTTGAGATGAAATCATTCTGAATAATACCTGACAATAGTTTCAGCATACTGGGTACCTAGCCAAACTACTGACCAGACATTCTGTAGGTTTTATGTTCACAGCTGATTTTATTGAAAGATTTGAACCTTATATGAGTCTTGGCTAAGCATCATGAAACACACACTATTAAAGGCACAAGTGCACAAGTCTGTTGTCACCATGGTTACATGACTGTGGCTTTGAACATATTGAACTTCCATCATACTCTGTCACCCTCCCTATTTTCGCTTCTTCCCAAATTTAATGAAATGTCTGGCAATTATGCAAATGATAAAGATATGGATGCTGTTTTGCACCACAAGGAGTATGACTTCTGCATCAGTGTGATGTAGGCACCCCAGCATCAAGCATGAGAAGCTTGGAAGGGATTATGTCAAAAACATTATTAGCAACCAATTCCATTAATACAGTCCATCATGGCCATGTTCTGAACTTTTCAGCAAACCAATCATAAGTTAAAGAATCTTTTTATAATGGACTTAAATGTCATATGCATGCAAACACACACTATGGGTGAATATAACTCTGTTATTACTCGTTAAAAAAGACACTATTAGGGATTTGCCTTGTCAGTGTCACATAGAGAGAAATGAAGCACATGGCCACATTAACATACAAATGTCTGATGATTCTGTTATAGACCATCAACCCAAGAAATGTAGATATTTCAAAAGTCATTTCAATATGTGATTGCACAAAAGAAACCCAACTGTAAACACATATTTGATTAAATATAGTGCTAACCCACTTATATACAATTCCTCAGTTAAATGTGCATACTCCATTTAGATTAAATGTACTGACTCCAAACAACCAGTCCTTGTTTTATAAATCTTGACACTGAGTGCTACGTAGGGTAACAAGCATCTTTTAATGTCTTTGAAATGGCATGGCTTGGAGTTGAACCACTAACCATTTGCTCTGTCCACAATACCACAAGAAGCAGCCAAGATACTTTGGATGAACAAGGAATCGAGCCAGCCATGTATGTGTCATGATTAACTTCCTGAATGAACCTGATATTTCCTTGTGGCCTTCTGTAAGTGGTATGTATTACAAGGATGTGATTTTGTCAGATATTAAATTCAAAAGACAGTTTCCTTATCACATTGAAAATGTTAAGATGTGACATGGAATCAAATGAGCATAATTCATAACAAAATACATATTTGAAGATTAATGTCTTGCTGGTAAATGTTGAGAGATATTGCACTGAGAGTGAACCAAATGATAAACTGGCTACCTAACATGCCTAAATCAATTTCTCTTTTATCAACATCCAACTATAAATGGAATCAGTTTTGATCCAGGAAAATCATTTTGAAGAACAATTGCTTCTTTCCTGCACAGGTTTGTTGCTATAGGAACTAACAATCCTTCAACCTTATTGAGGATCTGGGGCTGCTCAAATTTTCAATCAATGCTGTATGAATTTTGCCCGAGCTGCTCTTCATGACTGTAGGAATGTCTAACCCAAATCAATGACCACTATCACTTCACAGTGTATGTTATATTGGCCTGTTGAGAAGTTGTGCCACTTAACCATATGATGTTGATATATACTGTCTGAGGGGAAACAGTTTGTATAACACCATTCGTGTCAGTGCAAACATAACGATTTGTGCCTTAGAACAGCACTGAGACATTGGTATAGCCTGACAACTCTTATAATCTAATAAAATATTATGTCAATAAATTTAATATAATCTACTCAAAGAGGTTGACTGCCTTCTAATGCCTTGAGATAGAATTTTGGAACACAGTGTGTAATGTCATTAACATGATTAAAAAATGAAATGAGTTGAATATTGTAAGCAGACCCAAACATATTACAAAACTGACACATCCATTACATGGTTTGAAAATTCTTTTTAAACCCAGTCAGATAGGACTAGAGGTAAAGAGGTTCCTCAACTTTGAAATTATTGCACAATGCACCTATCACATGCTTCACCAATCAATACTTTATGTTGTGGAAAGTGATGCTGCATCATTTCACTCGATAATCCTCAGTAAAGAATAAAACAAAATTTGACACAGCAAATGACAGAGACTCTGTACCAAATACAGTGTTGTTTGTATACAACATATTTGTGTGGAAAAAGGGTACTGCCTAAAGAGGCACATTAAAATCTAAGTCTAAAGACACTTACCACAATTAAACCTATATTTTCATTGTCTTCTCTATCTTGAATTGGTAGACATAACACTGAAATTAAATGAAAACAAAAACAAATATCACCAGATTTTTCAGAAATATTTTTGTGTGTGATGATATATCACTGATTAAACAATGCGGCTCTATATCAATCAATTTCTGTGAATCAGCTGCATGAATGAGTAGTAAGCCCTAGACAAAAGGGGATGAGCAAGATAGACTCCCGACAGAAGACACAAGTCAGGAGAAGCAGACACAGTATTGACCCAGCTTATACAGATCGTGAAAAGCAAAGAGACTAGTCGGAAAGCCAATTAGCTGACATTCACAATAAGCAATGAAGCTTTCTGTCTCTGCATCTTGGACCTTCTCTTCTGTTTTGCTATCTTTGTGACAAGCGGAAATGGAGGTACACTGCATGCGTGTCAAGCAGCATCACCAATCTTTCATCTGTCACTGCTACCAGGATATCTTTTATGTAGAAGCAATAAGGCAAACCTTAGGTCGGAGTATTCAAACTAAATATACACTGAGGCCAGAGATGTTTGACCTTGAGTTTGATGTCAATGATAATGAATCAATTACAGTTGCAATCTGAATTCAAAACTAAGATTTGAACTGTCAGGTTCTAGGTGTTTGTCCATATTAGATCTAGGTATCCCATTAATCTGTTACATTTCACAGATTCTGAAAGGATCCCTTGATTCTCATTCATAATATCATACCCAATTTGATATTGGGAAAATAGCCTTTTAGGATCTTCTTAGCCACCATACCTAATTATTCTTATAACTACATGTCAGTTCTTCACAATAAAATACAACACTTGTAATATATGTACCTATGTTGATAGCTAAACTGTTGCAAGATGCTTCACCGGTTACAGCAAGGTTATAATATGGCAAGAAGCTCAGTACAGGTTACACTGGTTGTGCTAATATTTTTTCAATTTTATTCAATTTTAGAATGGAACTTGCTGTTACCACTTCTCCACTGTTACTGAAATTGGTTCTTTGCAACAGATGCACATCTACCATGTAGGTGAGATTATATGTAACAGAGATTTTAACAACAGAACAGGAATGCAGATCATTAACACTGGCAAGAAACTGATATCAATGCCTGTCCACATGAGAGGACATACAGATGCCTGATGTTAATGATAATGCTGGTGATGATACCTCTAGATGCTTACTTGAATCAAATATTAATTATACAACCTGATCAAAGATCCTATTCATATTCCCTCATTATGATATTTCTTGGATGACTGATGTAGTTATAATAGATAGTCGAGTATACATACCGAGCTGGCTCTGCTGAATGTCTTCATCAAGGGCTAGTGCCGTGATCACAGGGTCTTGAGGCGAGGAAATGGGCTGGACGAGTTGCTGTCGCTGCTGGTATGCTTTCCTGCCAAAGTAATAGATCTAAGTTAGAGACTACCCAAGGGTGGAAATAACCCATTGCCCGTCGCCCCAGTCCAGTGTTTTTTTCTGTCGGGCAAGCAAATTTGCATATCACACTGTACCGGTGTCCAGTTGACTTTCCAATCTTAATTATGTTGTTTATTTAAAAAATCAAATCAGCAAGAAAATCGGCCAGTATAGTGGAAGACTTATCAGGGCAAGTGATTTTACATGTGCCACTGTACCAGAGTACACTAGCAATTTTAAAGTTATTTCCACCCCTGCTACCATAAGATCAGAGATTACAGACTTGGTGAGAGATGTTTGGTAAAATATCTAGACTTTAACCCCCAGCTGTCAGCTGCTTGCTGGCACTGCCATGACTACACTATTTGCTGCCAAGTTGCAACTGTCATTACCAACTTCAATTTCTGCTGTTATACTGAACTAAACTGAACATCTTGTATCACTGCCATGATATATCCAGACTATTGCTTTGTCTAGTCTCATGTGTCCTGTGGTTCAGAGATGCTGACAACCATTAAACAGGCTATGACATAAACACACTTGGGTCTTTCTGCAGGTGAGCATTTTTCAAGCTACTAAGTACAAAGAGAGAAAAAGACACCATGAATGTTAAAGAACACTGTGCTACAGTATACTATACCTTAAACACTGATGTAATTTCATTATCTGTCTTGGAAAGAGAACAAAATATTGAAGGGCACTGTGTCTCCAGCCAGTATGTCTTCTATCAGTTACAATTTAAATTGAAACGAATGGAAAATCAATATGTCTATTAGCGTTTTTAATTTGTGATCGTTCAAAGGTAAATTCACTGAAGGGATATGCTGTAGTATTTTATATACATAAGGAAGTAAGGACTAAACATGATAAACATGAGGAACCAGGGCTGAGGGCTTTACACAGTATACATATGGTTAGACACAGCATACATATGGTTGTGTATATATGATCATGGGCATGGGCTGCTCTCACCCTGACAGTAAACTATGTGGGAACGTAGAAAGATATAATCTTACCATGCTAGTCCTTTTGCTGGAAGTGATTTTCTACCGTTAGTTTCTACTCGAGTTGTCTCAGGACTCCGCAGGTATACATTTGCTTTTGTCTGAAATGCAAGTTAGCAAAGATTCAATGTTTGTAAAATTACACCCGGTTCCTTTTGTTTAGAATTTCCATCAGGAACATTATGTTTCTGGCTAAAATGGTGTACTTCAACTTCAGTAGTATTGCATGAGCAAGTACCACAGAAAAAGTGAAACACAGCATACAAGAAGGAATAATGTGTAACATTGATCAGTGCTATCCACAGAACTCACCTGCGGTCGAAACTAACAAGCTTTGTTCACATGTTCGTATGATGATGAAATAAGAAGTGTTTCCAGGTTTACAAGTTTTATGTTCACCTCAACCATTATACTTGTTTATTGAGTGTACCTGGTATATGAACGACACTGGTTCCTATTGCTACAGGGTATCAATTAACCAATCAGGATTAGTTTATATGAAACTTGGGAAACAGTCCCAACATAGACCACTTCTTTGTTTCAGCAACACATCAAACTTATCAGCACAAACGTTGTGTTTCAAGTATGAACACTCTTCCAAGTTCTGTCTGCAGCTGGTGGACAATATATACAATGGGGGTCATGCTGCATATCCCATGAAAAAAATACTTTCTTCACATATATTTAGTGGTGTATCAGTGAAGATGTGCACAAGAAGCTTATCTGTCAGATAGCACACTCTGCAGAACAGATGGAGGCATAGGAATGTGTGCTGAAATCTGATTGGTTGCAACATGTTGGAAAGTGGGATTAGATTTCATAATCTTTCCAAGATGTTTTGGTATGTTTATTAGTTTATTTCTTCATCTCAAATTTGAAACCTGTACTATTCTGAGCTTGGTAAAATGGAAAAAAACCCACAATTCATACATTGCACATAATTACATCTGACTATAATTTAGAAGCACAAGTTCGATTTAAGTACTTTTGGTTTGTCTCTGTTCTGTAAGTTTAAGACTGTAAAAATATTACCGATCAAGTTTCAGACATCAGGATCTATTTTGATTTCTTCTAAATGAAAACCTAATTTCTGTCTTGAGGGGGATGATATGACCATCTCCCAAAGGAATTAACCACTTGTTACCATCATATAAAATCTTTAGAATGGCATAGCTTGGACCAGTAACCTTCAGCTATATCCACTAGACGAGGGAGGCAGTCAAGACATTAGATATTAGGATGAACAAGGAACTGAGCCATGTATGTGTGATTATGAATTTTAAAAAAACTAACCTTCACATTCAACAGGCCTCTTGAAGATTTGAAAATATACTCTACAAAAACAACAAACGAACATGTTTTTCAGATTGTACCTTATGTATTATATAAATAATCAACAGATTATGATAAATTGTTTAAACTTGTCACAAGTCATTTTCAATGACCGAGGTTCATCTTGGTACACATGAATAAATCGAATGCTAAGGTGAAGGTAATCTGTCCTCAGTATCTTATGGTCCCCATAAGAGTCAAGAACGGACTGACATCATGGCCCCATGGAACCAATCAGATTACTAATTGTTGCCTTGGGAATGTTCAACCACTCTTATTGCAGTGCCTGTACCAACAGTTGGAGGATCTGTGGCTGTTGCTGACATTGATCAAGAGCATCCAACAAATGTTTGATGGGGTTTAGATCTGGAGATCTGGAGACCCTGAGGGCCATGCAGTACTTGGGTGATTTTTGCTTGTTGCATAATGGGAGAGATTTGTGGCAGTACTTGGGTGATGTTTGCTTTTTGCATAATGGGAAAGATTTGTGGCAGAAGAATTTCATTTGTGTAATGTTGCGCCATTAAATTACCCTGGACTTATGTGTATAGAATAAAGAAATTACCCTGCACTATTATGTATAGAATAAAGAAGAAGTTGACATCCATAATATTTTCTCTTATACTTGAATACCAACTTCTATATGCCTCTCAAGAGCCTCACCCTGGACTTATACCATTAGTCTTTTATATGGATTTTGGAGATGGAGCCCACATTATTATACTCTTGCCACCAAACCTGTCCTCTTCCTGTATGCAATTTCAAACTTAATGTTCACCATGATGTCTTTTAACATGACGTCTTCCATATTTACGAAAAACAAGACTTGTTACTAAACTAAACATGTTGCCATCCTTGACACTACTAATGTTGCAGCCTGAGATGCTGTCAGTCAGAGCAATGCCTGTAACTGGTTGTCTCCAGAATACCTGTGGCACTTTGACTGTTCCCACTGTCTGGGCTGAAATCCTGCGTATTGCTGTAGCTAACTGGAGGTGGCCATGGTGAGTCTATCACGAAAGTAACGAACCACATAAACCAGTCCTGCACTACAGTTGTAACACATGGTTGATGGGATCTGGGTAGGTCATGTGTTGCCCCCTGAAGTCTGATAAAGGGTCCATGGTCTTGTAATGGTGCTTATTGATGCATGGAAAATCCCTGCTACAGTCTGTCTGCAGTGACAATCGTGGCATGTTTCACTTTCACTTGCTGTACATTCATGAAGACTGACAAACAAAAACTCATTGTTTGCATAGCCCAATAATTCATGTTGCATGGTCATTTCATGTTGGTGTTTGGCTGCCACTCTACCACATGGTTGCATTTTCACATATCCTGTACTTATTCTACCTGAACATATCACTCTCGATGCATGCAGACATGAAAAATTCATGCTTGATATTCATTTTGTATGACTTTGCAATTTTTCTATTTTTGTAGAATTTTTAAAATAATTTTTTTTATTTTTAAAGTGTATAGATACTTTTTTTTAGAGGTTTGCATTTTCAAACACAAATTTAACTTTGATGACAATGATGATGAAATGTTACTCTGCATTCTGGAGACTGTATTGTTACCTACATTTGACAATATGATATCACTGAGAATTGTTGCTTTGTAACGGAATGCTATGAATGCCGTTTTGTACGCTTGGCGACCATTCTCGCATGCTGTTGTAGCTGATACGCGAGTTTTGTTTCCATTTCAAACGATTTGTCTTCCATTACAAATATATTGTTTCGGTTTTAGAGGATATTGTTGCAGTTTTGGGTGATTTTTGTTCTGTTTTGGTGTATATGAGTTCAGTTTTGATGATTTGTTGACCGTTTGTATGGTAGGCCTGTCCCTGTAGATTTTGAGATGCAACCTGTTCGAGAACGAAACTCCATTTTGAGAAGATTTTATACGAAAGTCCAGACTGAAACTGAAGAGGGGTATTCAAAGTCTACTATGACTTCCATTTGTTCAGCTATAAATAGGCACATCTCTTCCCCTCTATTAGAAGTTCAAATATATCTGCATGACAAAGACTTTACGACATTAAACCATGTTTTCATGGGAGTTGTCAAAGAGATAAAGTGAGCCAGCAAAAACGAAGACTACCATCACTATGCTCTTTCATCGGGTGATTTCAGAAAAAATGTATTGAAGTACATTCTGAAGCCACTCTACACTTACTTTGATGTGATTCGAAGTAACCTTCATTTATGCTGCCGTTACCCAGGTGTTGAAGGTCTTCGGGATCTGTGACAAGATCTGTTTGTTCTATCCAAAGATGATACTGCGCCTTTACTTTTGTATGGCTTACAAAGCATTGAACCTGAGAGATCTGTTTACCTGTGCTAGCTGTCATCTAATAATTACTCCAGTGCTTCAGGTAGGGCTGGATATTGCCCTAATTCTCATATTGCGATATATTGCAATAAATTAAGAGATGTTGCAATATATATTGTGATATATTGACTGGAAGGTTTGTGCCAAAGTGCGTACATCATAATTTCATAATAGCTTTCTTTGTGACATCATCTTCCTAGTTGCTGTTACACCATACTTTCAGCTCCCCTTCCCCATTGTGTATGGCCGTGTGCCAGTGGTTTACAGATAAATAAAATGATATAGAGCCTTAATGTGAAATGTTTAATTGAAGTATTGCAACACAGTTTTGAGAACATAATGATAAAGGTAATAGTATAAAATGATTTTCATGATCAGTATTGTTTGCTTCAGCAGAATGCACTTTAATGCAGGATGTAATTATTATTACTGCATGACAGTTATCCATTCAGATTCAACTCCAAATATTAACATGTGTTCACATGAACTATTGCTTAATAAAACAAATCATTTAGGTTGACTACTTGAGCTTAAATCTCATGTGACCTCCAATAACTAAGACGCTTGACAGGAATGTCATTATACAGTCCTAAAAATTTATAAGACTTAAGCCTTTATCATATATTGATAACATATGTCCCATTATGAAACAATCAAAAATAATAAAATAACTTGAATTGATAAATGGTCAGTCAGAGCCAGAAGCTCTACTAATAAGTAGGGAGGTGGGGTAGCCTAGTGGTTAAAGCGTTCGATTCCCCATATGGACACAATGTGTGAAGCCCATTTCTGGTGTCCCCCGCCGTAATATTGCTGGAATATTGCTAAAAGCTCCGTAAAACCATACTCACTCTACTAATAAGCCCAAATAAAAAATTGTTCTATATGAGGCCACATAATTCCTCCAAAATGTCACATATGAAACCATTCAAGCCCACAAAACTGAAAGCATTTGGTAGAATATTTGGTACTTTTGGAGCCACCTATAAAGATACTTCTACTTGTAAAATGTTACATGAAACCAACAGATATATAAGTATATTTGGCACTTTTAGAGCACATTTTGTTGCTATGGAAATCAAGGGCACACAACTCAAAGGGAGCTAACTCTGGATGACCCAATATATTGCAGAATCTGAACCAGAAGTTTTTTTGAGTGTTGCCACTTGGCACCTTAACTACTAAAATGTGTGCCAATGCAGTTGCAACTTTTGCCATTCATGGTAACCATGGTATAGAAGACCTGTGGAATATATTAAATGTTGCGCCAATGGGTGCTCTAGCATTGAAAAAAAGTGCCATTGCATATTTTTTAGTGTGACTGGTGCAATGGCGCGCTTGCCTGGCTGAAGCACTGAATTAGGTAGTTGAAGGAAAATGATCTGTATCAGAAACTTTGAATATATATGCATTACACATTGCTCGATTTCTA